TATATTTGAAATCTACACATATGACTTTTGGAAAGCCGTCTATAGAAATTTTTCCCATAACTCCTTCCGTAGGGTAGATAATTAGCATTTAATTTTGCCATTTTTAGACAAGGGTGCATTGCAATGAGTGCCACACCCAGACCCCAATACCGACAAAGCCCAAATTTTACGTGGAACGAGTTGAGATTATAGGTGACCTAAATCCATGAGATGGGTACGGGGGCCCTTACCGTCTAGGAGGAGAAGCGGTAACGGTAGCCGTCCGGCGGAGCCGGCGGAACGATCCGGACGGGACCGAAACCATGTGTACCGCCAGCGCTAACGCTGGTGGTACAATTAAAGGCTGAAATATGCAGAGCAGCTAGAAAAGACACCAATGTATGGAGTCAATATTCCTGAGGCATGCACACAAATCTCCATCTTAATTTGCACGTATCAGTGGGTTTCTAATTAAGATACGGAAATACATGTCCGCGTGTCCTTCCTGGTGCCCCGTGTTTCAGAGGCCACTGGAAACTAATGTCACCACTAATATCAGCATGATTGCTGATAATATAGAGTTGACAGTTTCTCTGAAAGTCAGGGTGCCATTAAGGCTTATTATACTCTTATGAAAACCTCTTTATTGAGAAAATGCTCATCATTAAAGGTACTTGATGACCATTCTGAGAGATGGATGTCCACACCATATGTGATCGACCATTAAATTGTGGGCAATTCTGGTCTGGTAATTTCTTAGTTAATTAGAAGAAAACTAATTAATTTCGTTTGCCAGAATAATGTTTTGGCAGTGTCACTTATCTGACAAGATTATTTAAAAGCATATAGGGTTATGAAAAAAAGCCACTAGTTCTAAATAATTATAGCGTATACTTTGATTAATGAAAAAGTTGCAATTATTATAGAAAAGTATAGTTTGGACTCTGAACTACTCAGTGATTTTTAGCTTACTAAAAACAAAAACCATGAACCAATATTAGCTCTTCAATCAGCTTTTTCACTTGAATTAATCAATTAATTATAAATTAATCAATCTCGTCCTGTTACGTCTGAAAAGTAGGCAGAACATACAACTTCTATGAGCAAATAAAAGGACATTATCATATATTACTACATACAAAGAATGGCATTCTGCATAAATCAATACGTAGTAAAGAAATCAAGTCTTTACAAGAAGTGGTGTTCCCAATAAATGTTCACTCTAACCATGAAACAAAATAGCCTCTAAGTATGTTTTACAAATAAAACCAAATCAGACAAAACCTAGATTTAATATTAATTATTTTTCAGAAGACTGACTAAAATACAGCAAGGTCAATCCATCTGAGATCTTATATTATATTACATGTAGTACAACTCCCATCATCAGAAATTTCTTCCACAGATCAATAATTTTCTGTTTGTACAAACATCCTGGGACTTGTACAACATCAGAAACTAATGAAGGAGAACATGTCTGAGCTATGTGTTAGGTTGGCCTATTCAGAGCAGACAGAGCATGGTTCAATCAGTAGTCAAATGGATGGCAGACGTCATGGAAGAGCACAGGAGAGGGATCGTTGGTTTGCAAGAACTGGCTTTTCAGTTGAAAAAAAAAGGCCCGCTCTGAACCAAAATTTGGTCTAGGTTCTATTACATTTTTCATGTTGGGTCAATAGAGGGGTAAAAAAAGATCACCTTTGCAACTTAAAAAAAAAAGACCTGTTATCCTACCATAAATTATCACCGAAATTTAAAATGAAACATTGCCCTGTTATTGTATAAAGATGTACCAAAGCTGATTCACAAGTATTGAAAAGTGAACTGAGATCCTATCAGAAAGTAACATAATTATTTGAGCGAAAGATTTAAAATGAAAAATATTTTAAAAAATCATATTGACCAATATTGAGGTATTTCACATCTACACCACAGCTGTTTCAGATGTATACTGCTGACTGAATATCCATACTCTTGTGTCAATTTAAATTTTAGGTGGTTTTGAACTTGTCAGGCCTTAAAATCAATCATGCTATATTGTAAAGAATTATAACTCCCTTAAGGATAATGGCAGAGAAACCATGTCACTGGTTAAATGGACAAAAATATAAAAAGGAGTAAAATGGGCTCTAAATTTTCATTAAAGAAATACAACATCAGATTTGTAAATAGAATATAGATGCACAAGTAAACAAATTTGACTTCATGCATGCATGTGTGCGCACACACGCACACATACTGACCCCCCCCCACACACACACACATTTACCTATTAAGCTTCCGAGTGTCAATGGTCTTCTTCCAATTTTTTCAACCAAATACAGACCAACGAAAGTGAACACAAAATTTACAGCAGCAGTAACAGCAGACAGCCATATTGCTGTAGATTTGTCCCGGATCCCTGACATTTTGATGATGGTGGCACTATAATACCTGTAAGAAGAAATACATTACTCCACTATTATAAAAGATTTATATCAATCATGTAACACTAAGACTAACTCTGAGACTGGCAAATGCTTAACACATTCCAATATGGTCAAGGGACATGTAAACCATTCTACCATAATTATTTTAAAACGAATCAGTTCTAAAACAACACCCTCTATACTCTCAAAACTGATTTTCTTTCAGTGTGCATTTTATAGCCATATTATTACACAAAATCTCATTTTCACATCCAAACAACATGAGCCCGAAATGGGTTTAGGACCATATTTCCCTGATTGTTACAGACTGGGTTAAGGCGAGTGTCAAGAAAGAATTATCACATGATGGTTCGACAAAAAATACCAATTACCCCAGGAAAATCTGGTAAATTATCAATTTTTTTACAGAGAAAATCTTTTACTGGGCACCTTGACTAAACTGTCACTCCTAGCGTTGATTGCTACCAATTTGCTGCATAGTCTGAAAGCGAAATCGCATCCCACTGATAAGTGTGGACTTCAGTTTAATGTTAACACAACTCAATAAACTTGGCTCACATGACAGTGTTGATCCCCACTAATTGCTGCACAATCTGAAGGCTACATCCGATGATAAGAGCTCTTCTCACAGCTGGGGTCTGTAGCATGATCAGCAGCACCGGTCTGCGACCTGGGGGAATTGAATGAAATGAAAATATAATTATTAAAAATATCAGAAATTATAGTGTGTATGAATTTTAATAATATAAGTAATACTTGTATGTTGTTGAGAGCAAGAGAATTTACTCAGGTACGTATAACATAGCTAAGGCACACGTGTGCATGTGTGCACGTATGTACATTCGCGTGCATGAATCCAAAAACATATTTTGAAGCAAGTTAAATTCATGAAATTTGCAAGGCTTAGCAATTCCCACACCCCTTTCTCTCAGCTCCATTTCATCTTCTTCACAGCTTTTTTTAATTCCATCAAATTCATCATCTACATCTAAGACACCACGTATACTCTGCAACACTCGCCGTGCTTGGTCATCGCGCTGTTTCGTGATAAGCCACCTGGAAATAAAACATTTTCTGTAATCACTCTAAATATTCATACAGAACAACTGAACAATGTAATTTGCCCAAAATATTGATCCATTGGTGACATCTTAAAAAGATTATTAGGATGTCCTGAAAAGTATGTTGGTTTATGCCAGAAATAACTAAGTAGCTGAAATATCTAAGTTTTAAAAATCCAAAAGCTAGATAGACTTCCCTGTAAAACATTCTCCTTCTGTTTGTGTAACAGTGTAATAGTGCAAGTGCAATGAAATGCAACAAGTTTTCAAGTTTTCCCCCCCAATAATAAGTATGCGTTAAAATCTTTAAAGTTTATTAAAAATCTAGAGGCAATGAAAGATAACTTAGACAACAAGTTACCTGGGGCTTTCTGGCATAAAAAGAAACCCAAGAAATTGTATAGCTGATGGAATTCCTGCCAATCCAAGCATGTACCTGCAAACATTGAAATAAAAAAAAATTTGCTTTAGATCAATTGTAATTAAATAAATGAATAAATAGATTCTCTGTCAAGTTGTTTTAGAAAATGAGAGTAAGGACATCATTCTGACACTCAAATAACACTATTGTAAGTCTGTGATATGATTTCAATATCAACTACAGAACCTGAAAAAATATGTGGACTGTCAAAAGCTTATATGGATACCAATGTAAAAAGTTTGCTTGGTGCAATATTAACAAATCGTTTTTAATTTTTAACCAATTCCTTGCACACAAAGACCCACAATACTTTTTAACACCCTCCCCCCCCCCCCGCAATTTTTTTCAAATCCACTGAGGTTATCATAGTGAGAGTATAATTATAACATTATATATACGATACAAGTATAATTATAGCTATGCACCTTCAAGTTTGAAATTGAACAATGTGCAATACTTTTTGGTAAACAGCTGTTCAAGAACTATACCAAGTCTAGTTGTTAAGGAATAAATGATTGTAAATGGTCATTTACTTTAGAAACACCCTTTACTCCCAAGGAGCACAGAATTTCTTCCAGGGTATTTAGTATTCAGGCAGTCCAACAAGAGTTCATTGTCATTACACCAATGAACCAGCCATTACTCCTTCCCAGACAATTTCTGCTGGCAGATTAATGGATTGGCAGTTCTGATTAATCCAGGCAATCATTTCCTTTCGGAACGATATTTCCGCGACCAAATAATGAAACGGCAAATTTTTACAGGAGTTATTAGGATTATTATTGCCTGGTGTTTTGGAAGAAGTGCTGTTGCCAGCAGCAAAGTTACTTCTGCAAGAAGTGACAAATAATTAAACATAATGGATACGATTGCAAGATGTAGTATTTACAGGTGACATTTAAAACCATGTGACAATATTGAAAACTTCCATTACTGGATCAGACCTACTTCTCTTAAAGAACCTTGAGGTCTTTTCACGTAGCGTGTTTTTGATCCTAACAGAACAGCTGCAAAGGTGTGGTTTTAAAAATTCTGCCCACCATGGATAGTCGCCCTCACCCTCTTTATTACATAATATTTCTTTACAGCAAGTGCTAAAACTGGTCAATTCTGGTACCAATGAGCTATTTCAACCTTGGCTGCCAAAATATGGGTATGCTAAAATTTTACCATTATCCTAGGACCCAATAAATTTGGTATACCTAATAGAAAGCATTATCTGGGTCATGTTCTCAAAGGGGTATGTCTATAACAGATTTAGAATTAATCTGCTGTTTACTACAAAATATAATTACATCACGTATAAATGCTCCCTAGATGAAAAAAAAAACACAGCAAATTGATGTTACGTTAATAGAATGAAATGTTAAAACAACTGATTGCAAATATGACTGCAGGGAAATTAGACACAGCACTACACATTTCCAGGATATCATGGAGTTTACAGAGAAATCAGTCGATAGCACTGTTCAGACAAAGTTTATCTTGAAACGGTGATGGGCCTACAACATGTCATGTCATGGTCAGTGTTAATCTTAATTAGAACCAGAAATTTTACCACCTGATTGAAGTATGACATGCTAAACAGCCCTACGACGTTAACCAATTCATATTTAGATGGTTTTTCTGGGCAATGACTAAATTGCTAGAGATCTTGTCTATCTTTTATTTATAGTTATGGGCATGGCCTCTAAGACATGGTCTCTAGGGATATAGGAAATAGCTGTTGAGAAGGACTATATCATAAAAAGGGAAGGTTAAAAAAAAGCATCAGTGAGATAAAAAATATTAATAAACATAGTGATAGGTTGCTGTTTGACAGAGCTTAATCTCATTTATTCACGTCATGGTGAAATAGAGAAACTGATAACAATGCACGTAATGAAACGTGACTCATGTAAAATTAACAAATTGTTCCATTTCTGTCACCTTGATCATTATTTCTCCATCAAACTCGTTTACTAGCAATTAGTGCTTTGGGGTCATTACTCTGACACAAAAGACAAACCAGAACAAAAGGGAGGGTCTCTTCTGAATAAATAAATAAATAAATAAATAAATAAATAAATAAATAAATAAATAAATAAAGCATTTATCCCATGGACAATGTCTGAAGTGGAAAATATTTATCTGAAATCCATAGAAGTGTGGCTATATGCAGCAATTATTAACCAAAATTTGGTTTGAAAAAGGGTAATAAAAGGGGCATACATTTTGTATTCACCACAACCCCACACCCTAATGTGCTGAGTCTGCCAATAAAACAGAAGTTATTCAACTTCAGCCCACTCACACCCTTCCTATGACATTGCCTGTAAACATGGATCCCCTCCTGATACTTCTCAACCCTAGTGTCAGAGCACAAAGGAAATTCATATCTGTTTTATTTTTCTATACTGGAAGCAGCAGAGGTTTGCCGATAATAGCCTGGTGAGCGTCCAATGTTCTATGAAACTCTAGGGGCATATTCCAAGGAATGTCTTCAAATACTTTGTCTCTTTGATTTTCTAGTTTGTTTCACAAGCTAGCTTACATCAGTGCCAACAAGCAATCACATTAATTTAATAGAAATACTAAAATATGGAAACCAAATCAATACTACTTCAATCAAAGCTCCCTTTAAATTACAGGGAAATATAAATAAACAGAACATACAAAGCTAAATTGATGTAATTATTGCCAATGAATGTAAATTTCTGGCTAAACTGCAGAAAATTCATTCAAGTGAGAAATCTTTCATACCCCAGTTACAATAATTGGAGCTTGTTCACACTGTTTAGTATATATCAGATAGCAGGGCCATCTTTACATCAACTTCTGCCAAATGTACATAGGCAATCTGTTTTCATTGGTCTTAATCCATTAGTGGGCAAGATATCTCAGACAAGATACATCTAAACAAATTTTGATGGTCTCTTAAGGATACTTGACCACACGCCAATATCTTTCCCTCCCACATGTCTCTAAATACAGTATCTGTCAAAGGGGAAAACCACCTTCCCAGTCTACTTGTCAATTAACTTCAGTCTGATTACTGAAATTTTACACTCTTTATATTCCTGACCTGATTATATTGAACTGTACCCAGAAAACCTGAACATTGAGATAATTCATTTGCCACAAAGTATCATTCTTTTTGGTAACTGATAAAATCTTAATTAAATAGTATTACAAATAATTATAACCATCTTCCTTATCTCTACCTATTTAAAGATACCATACGCAATTTCACAATCTACACAATTAATAGGCACGTATGCTAATCTTGATCATTTTTTATCAACTCTCCAAATGAGGCAGTTCAACAGGATAACTCGATATGTTTTTTGTCGACGTCTTACTTTGGTTATGGAAATGGAACATATGAAGACAGGTATTCATATTACAGTATTGATATTGGCATAGTAAATTTAGATGGGTCAAAGTCGTATTGAATAAAGCAGGATTAATGCATTGAGTGGCCGTAGAGGCTGACCAGTAGGATGACCATGAGGGTTCATTCCCATTGAAAGTAACGGTCTCAGCAGATTGATCCAACTCTGCAGGGACTCTCACTCAATGCAATCAGTATAACATATGAAATACCTCTTTCTGTTTCCAACATACTCCACAAATCACCAGCATTTCTGTAGTGTATACATAACATCACTAGGAGGTGTGTCATTCAGTTAAGCTGATTGCACTCAGCAAGAGTCCCTGCAGAGTTGGATCAATCTACGTAGACCAATGGTATCTGTGGGAATAAGACTGAGAGAAGATCAAGATACCCAATACCATGTACATCATCAATTGAGGTTAAGAACAAAGCTGAGATACCTCTGAGGGCCAGCGCTGGGAGATGCTGAAAGGACTTAATTGTGCAGGGTTATTGGATTTTTTGATGTGCTTCTTGGCAAAAACATACAAGTTAATATAAAAGATCAAAGAGTTTGAAGAGATTAAATTTGTTTTAGGCCTCACACTTATGTGCTCGATTGCATATACATTCAATTTGGTCTTGTTCTGGCTGTCTTATCAAAAAAATTAATTAAAATTTAGATTAAGAATAAAAATAAATAAATAAAATTCCATGACAAAATTTGCCAAATATTTTCCTTTAAAGAATCATAATATTATCCAATTTTGATAATATTGTTTAGTTTCTTCCATAACCAGATGAAGCATCTCTAGAGAACAAAAGAATCTCATTTATGACACAATGTTAAGTCATCTTGATGGAATAATTCTCAGAATGTTTCATTTTATTTTTGTCATTGACTAGGGTATGCAGTTTTATTTATTTTGTATATTTTAATTTAACTTGATTAATTAATTATTTTTAATTAAAATTAATTAATCCATTATTATTATTATTATTATTTATTATTATTATCATTATAAATAAGAACACATGGTGTTGTTTGAAGTTAGAGATGCCTGCTCACTTCCAGGATACTTCATTCTGGGCCATTACCTCTAGTGAGCAGTATTATCACTGCACTGCAAGGAGAACATGACACTGTGGCGGGTGATAAGAAAAGTCACGATCAACAGCTCCAAATGTCAAGCACTGCTTTCATGGCTTTTTTTAATTAGAAGTGAACGGTGATATATATGTTGCTATGCTATCTGAGTGAAGGTCCCAGTTACTGAAGAACCCATGGGCAAGGAGGTTGAGGGTTGTGATTTCACCCCCCCCCTCCCTCCAATAACCAGTTTATATTGTCCTTAGATTAGACACTTGACGTACAGAGCCTCATTTTATGAGGTGAATATCTGCCAACAACACTTAAGTGTTGAGATATTATACCAGAGGTAACAAAAACTCCTAAATTGGACTCAATTACCTTAAATTTCCTTACTTTTTTTAGCAAGCTTAAACATAATATACGCACCATAGCTCACTATGACAGTAAGCTAGCAGTAGGGTTTGACTGCAGATTTAAAAAAAAAGGACCCTGTATCATAAATGTTTAACAAGTAAATGGGATCTAAGCCTGCAAATTTGTTAATATGTATCCTGAATGTACATAATGGGTGCTTGGCTCACATATTGTACTATGGTATCTCAAAAGGACAGGATCTTGTTTTATGAAAAATTCATGGCATTTGTATAGGCAAACCTATGTACCCACCCAATAAATAAAAACAATTGATCCGTCTGTATAAGGGTTCCATTATGTAAATTTATCATTATAAAGAGTGTAGTGAAAATATAGACCGAATCCTTACTGCTGGTAGCACTTTCAACTCCCACTTAATACTGTTCAAGTATGTACAACACTACAATAACTCTATAATATTCTAAAAGTCATCATAAAATATGTAGGAAAAAAAGAACCCAGACTGTCACTACTGGTAGCTACCACTTGCCATAGTGACGGTTCAAGTATATACACAGATTGCAATAAACTCTTCAAGAGATTATACTTCAATTAACAATTCAAGTATATATATATATATAAATAGCTACTTCAGGTATAAACACTACCACTCCTTACAATAACATTGTTCAGGTATACAGCACATGCACAGCACATTTCATTTCTTCCATAAACCATGTGAGTTTTTCATGATATAAAATGAAAAATTATATCAATTGCTTTTTTACTTATTTTAATGCATGAAGCAAGATTTTTGGGTAATCTGACACAAAACTTTCCTTTTTTTTTACAGCAGTTAAAATAATGTTAAAGGGGTGCAAGGTAATTCCACAGAATTATAACATTATATTTTTAATATTATATATAATATTAAAAATACAAAATTCTTTCATTTTTATAAATAAATTTTACCAAATAATGCATCTATTTGCATGCCCACAACAGGTGGAACAACATACAAAACATTCGAATGAACACTAACAAGATAATCAACAACAGTTAAACATGCATGAGAAAAACAATGGCTTGCTCCAATAATCAAATATAAAATTTAATAAATCTTCATATACAAATTAATAACATGTGATTATGAAAAATGTTGTGGTGCATTTTTTTGTTTGTTTGTTTTTGGTAAAAAAAAAGGGGGTTGTGAAGACTCTGAAAAATGGTTGTTAATAGAGCATCTTCTTCAAGTTTGACCCAAAATGTAAAATGTTTACTGCCAATACACTCTTGAAACAGCCTAAGATTAGTGGAGTAGATGTAACAATTCCTACCTCCATCCTTGCTCAACATAGCAGAATAGTCCATCGCAGACAGCCGCTACCAGAATGCCTGCAGTGATCAAAAGCTGATACAAGACAACAAGACGGCCGCGCAGGGGACTGGGCGCACACTCAGCGACGTACATGGGGATGCAGGCGGAGGCAAGACCTGCGACAAACGCACAACAAGTTACAACATCTATGGGTCATGACACATAACAGGATGGGTTGTAACCCTAGACATTATAAGGCCAGCCTTTCATATACATCTACATATTATAATGCAGCATTTTTTAAGTGCCACATTGTGACAGAGAGAAAGAAAGCCAAATTTTCATTTATGACAAAGGGGAGCTAATCTTCATTTTTGCAATGTGGTGTGCTCCACTAAGTATGCACCAATGGAGATTTTAAAATGAAGAAGCTTGCTGATACACATAGGGAGAAATGTAGCAAGAGGAAGAGAAAATTAAAATTACCATGAATAGTTACAAACTGCCATGAATTGGCATTGGAATATCTTCCGCTCAGATTACTATACTGAAATTTGCTGTATAAATTCAATTCACACAGTGCAAAGGCAAATGTTGGTTTCTGAACTGGTCACAGCTCATTTTTTGTTGAAAATCTTTTATATATATTTCTATCTGAAGAGTCTGCGACACATAAATTTGTTCACAGAGAAAGGCTGGCCAGACAAACAAAATTAAATTCTAAAAATAAAATGCTGAATGTCTGCATGAAATATCTGAAAACAAACAAAGCCACAGCATTACCAGTATACTAAATGAATTTGTTTGAAAATAAATTATAATATCTCACTAATGTCAAACATCCCAATTAATATACCAAATATCTTATCATTTCGAGACTTATTACATTCAGTTACTGACACAGGGACTTGATGACAACAAACTATTACCATAATAATTATACAGAATTATCTGAGAAGATGCTTTAGAAGCAAAAGATTGCATTTGGGAATTGTTTGAATTTAGTGAGAAATCAATATAATCATGGTACTAAATGAGAGTGGTACATTGATATGCAAGCCTACATAATCATGCAATGAACTCAAACATGAAAACATTAACAATAACATTAATGCAAGCATTTAAAACCGCATCCAATAAGAAATTAAAGTGGAAATCAAGCCAAGACTGATATAATTTTCATTTGGCTGGTGAAATGATTTTATACATGCAGATATGCATTTCTACGTTGATTGTTGCCACTGGTTAAAAATTAAAGAGACCAGGATCCCTTTATAGACTACACCCCTTTATCTCCCTGCATCGTTACCCTCCCTGAGGACAGATTCCCCCTAGTAACATCCAAAACAAAACATTTTTCTTTTCAAAAATACGCCTTCTTGGCATCCAAAAGTGACAAAGAATCAAATCATCATCCATAACTCCACTCTGCTGATAAGACCTAAGGGCAATTTTTCAGTTTCCATCCATGAGGGGGAGTGACGGTGCAGGGGAGTAATGATGAGAAGGTTTAGCGATGTGCATAATATTGTAATTATACTAGGCTAAGAGGAATTAACTATGCAGGGTTGAAAAATGATGATGTCCTTTTAACAATACAGAATAGAAGATCTGAGTATCAACTTTCTTGATCCAAGATGGCAGACCCTACATGAAAGGAAGACCGCTTAATCCTTTAATGGTCTATCTGCCTCTCACACACCTCTCCACATGTCTGGTTGAATGGAGCCAAGATTTAATTACTATGCCCCTGCAGGGACGATGCATGGGGAGGCGTGTGAGAGGTGGAGAGACTATTACATGGTAGTAGTAGTAGTCTTCCTTTCATGTAGGGTCTGCCATATTTGATCCTTGGACCAGTTGGTACTCGGATCTTCTATTCTGGATGGCCACAATGAGCTGTGTACTTTCAAGGACTGCTGCAGGTCTGTTCCTGCATGTTCCTGGGCTTGTTTCATGAAGAACTTCGGTATATACTGTAGTTGATTTTATCTCAAAGACCAAAAATTCAATCTATTTTTAATTTAGGATATTTCTGCAGTAGTTCACCGAAACAGAGTAACTATTGTTTAAAGGGGAGACTGTTTCTTTTTGTCATAAAACAGACTCAATATTTCATTTAACCGGACTATATTGGATCAAAATAGACTTAGGTTTTGGGTTTAAAAGTTAGGACCAACTTTTGGTTTTAAATTCTCTAGTGAAAAAGGCCCAGGTCATCAGATGATGCAAGTCAGGCTGATTGGCATTCCAAAATGTTCTTGTCTAAACAGAAGTAGACCACAAACCTCCACCCATCGTGCTGATCTTTGCTGAAAAGCCCATCTACCACATTAGCAATAAACTGTCCGAAAGCCACCATGGCCACGTTAGTAGACACAAGGCGCCCCCTAGTGTGAAAAGGAGCAGCCTCCGCGATATACATGGGAATGGTTGTTGATGTTAAACCTGAAAAATGTATAACGTAAAGTTTTAATCATAAATGCAAACATTTTTATCATGCTTTACATATGTAGGCAGTTAGATCACTGTGATCAAAGTGAACATCAGTCACACCTAGTTTAAGATATTTTACAATTATTAATTTAGTTTACTTAAACATATTTTGATAAATGCATGTATTGATTTAAATTTGGTCTTTTTTTTTTTTTTCAATCCACTCAATAAAAGTCAGATCCTTTGGGATAATATCCATCAGTGTACCACAGGTTACAAATTACTCCAGCATCATAATTATTTGAACCATTATGATCATAATAACCAAATATCATACAACAATGAATGTCATCCATCTGGCAATGGACCTTTGATATAATTCATACATTTTTAATGATAGATACTGGTACAGTTACTATCATTATGCTATAGCAGAGGTCTATTTACAAGCCAGCAACTCAATAGCCTCAACTATGTAAGCAAATGGTACCCTTATAATGAGCTCTATCTTTGCTATCACTGGGCACAGTAGAAAACTTCATTCATTTAAAATATTGGTGGGCGGACAACAAAAAGATAATACTGGCTGCCTGTGGTTGGCAACTGTAGCCAAATGTTGGTAGGCAGGACAACAAAGGGATAAGATTGGCTGCCTGTGATTAGAAATTGTAACTAAATGTTGGTAGGCAGGACAACAAAGAGATAAGATTGGCTGCCTGTGATTAGAAATTGTAACTAAACGTTGGTAGGCAGGACAACAAAGGGAAAAGATTGGCTGCCTATGATTAGAAATTGTAACCAATTGTTGGTAGGCAGGACAACAAAGGGATAAGACTGGCTGCGTGTGATTAGAAATTTTGCTCAGATAATATCTATCAAATTAAACTGTCATACTTAACAAAAGCGTAAATACACAGTTTACAGAGAAAGAGAACAAATTTTAACTTAAAAGTTACAGTAAAAGTGATGAGGCAGTTTGTCCTTTTAAATAAAAATATCTAAAAGTTAAAATGTATGATTTTGAATTGTTTTTGAAAAGTCTCATCAGTTTGGTACATGATGGAGATCAAAAGCTCTTTTGTCACAAACTTTTGATAAGATGTTTCAGAGTCTTTACTACAGGCTTTACGAAAAGACCAGAGATATTTTAAGATAATGAAACTCCTACCATTGGTTTCTTTAACCAGTCAAACTTAAGATTTTTAATGGCACCATTATGGGCCTCAGCAGATGAAATGAGGTTGATGGAACAACAAGGATCCCCCCTAAAGTACTGTAAACAGAAAACCTATGGACAGTGCCCATACTTCATTTGCCAACAACAAACTAAGCTTGATTGATGTTCCCAAGACTGGCTTAATCATACTGTTTCCCAAGTCATCAGGGCTATCCAATAACTGCCATTGAAGAGGCCTGTGTCTACACTAGGACTTCCATGTCAATACGGCAGCTAAATGTCAGCTCATATTTGCCTATAATCAATTATGTCACTTCCCAATATGAGTTTGGTATACCAGAGAAAATGGCCATCAACAAAGTTTATTATTTCCATGCATAGATAGAATACTGGTAAATGTATGTATAGAATGGCCTCAAGGGGTAGAGACGAACTATGACAGATTATAGAATATGTAGGACTTCAAAAGGAAAAAATATCGGTTTCTACATGTATGTACACAGAAATGCAATGGAGCATTATACCAGGCATGAGACCAGTCCTCACTGAAAAAGTAGGATTTACACGATTCACTGGATTTAGACAATTCACAAGAATGACCCAAATGACCCCGAAAAAGTCAGAATTCCGACAAAAGTCCAACAATAGTTGGAAAAATCCCATCAGTGTTATAGTACTCATATTTAAAAAAAAAACAAAGAATTTTCAGTCTTAATTTATTTTTGACTCTCTCTCTCTCTCTCTCTCTCTCTCATCTTTCCTAGTTTGAAAACTATATCAGCACGTATAGATTTGACAAAATTTGCAGCAATTAGTAAAACTCTACATCAAGGGACACAAGTTTCATCAAATTATATTACTAGTACAGATATTTTGTTGAACCACACATGTTGATAAAATTACTGGGTGCAAATCTCATTATAAATCAATGTTTTGATCAGCAGATACAAGACACACATCCTCATTAATGAGATATTCTTTGTAAATGTCATGACCAATGATTCAGTCACATCAGCTAAATTTAAAGAAGAAACCAACAGCTGCCAGGTAAAAACCTAGCCCTTTAAAATATGGACTGCAGACAAAAATTACCAAGTTCACTAGTTTGTGCGAGGTTTTCAAGTGCTAACTCAAAGGTCATCAACTGGAATATGGTGACAATATGAGGACAGTGTTTTGAATTTAAGTATTCTGCTCAGGTGAGATTCATCACAGGTAAATAAAAAAGGACAGGGTTCTCAGCCCTTTTGCAGAACAGGTCACCTAACATGGCAGAACTAATTGCATCACTTGATCATTGGATGAATTGGCATATTTCGCATACATATACAAAGATTTTGACAATGCTTTGAAGACTCCAACACACACTTATAAGATGCTGACTAGTGAAGGGGCGGATCCAGAGTTATTTTCTGACAGTCTTCCAATTTATCTTTGTTGATCCATCTTCCATTTTTGACCGTCTTCCGACAGAAAAAATTAGATACCTGTCAATGTAAACTTGACAAATCTGACCGTCTTCCGGAAGACCCAGAAGACGCCCTAAATCCACCCCTGTAGTGGGCCCTAGATTCTGGCAAAGCATGGGTTAGGTCTTTGTAGGGCTGTGAATTTTCACTGGACCAAAACCTGAATTTGTATCCACCCATCAGGGCTTCAATTATCTCAAAATAAAATGATTTCTGAAAGAACATTCACAATACAAATTTATAAAATAAGGGAATAAAATAATTACTGCTGTAATTGACATGCAGAGACCACTCATGAAACCTTCCCTATTAAAGTTCTTGGCTACGGAAATGATGTTGAGCACTGACAGAATAAAAAAATGGAAAAAAGTACTATCTTGTTCTTATACTACATTGTCATTTCATTATGTCTCAGTGGGATTTACGATAGACCAGGCTTACTATAGCTTATTTTAGCATGACATTTCATCATCGCTACATTTCAACATTGGTCTGGATTTGCACTGACTGTAACTATATTTGTTCCCACCTCCCTGGGGAGGGTATAATATTATTCATGCATGGTCCTTAAGTTATTAAGTTACCACGGAATTATCAGTGCAATGTTTAGAAGAGTTTTATCAAATTATTAAGTTAGATCTACTGTGATTCCTCAGGTAGTCATTCCCACTTCCCACAGAAATATTTCCATTGAGCCCAGGTAATAAAAAAACATCAAGAAAATGAAATGACACCTTCAAACCAAAACCACTGATATGACTTCATCAGCAAAATGACAATAACAGTTTTTTTTTTTTTTAACTAGAAAAATAATGTTCATGTTCAAAACTATAAGATGATAATTTAACAACCAGTTTCATATACTAGTAAAGGCATTTTTATTAGCCTGACTCTGGCTAATAGGGTAAATATTAACTTAACTTTTTAAAAACAGTTAAAACCACTTCAATATTTTTTCTATTACTATTTTAATAGTTAAAACCACTAAAGGCGTAATCATTCAAACTGCACAGTGCACTTACATCTAATAGACACTTTTTGATAATCTGAACTCCCACGTTATTAACTTGCTGATTGCTTTGCCAGATTTTGCGTAGGCTGTTGCATAAGAGTCTAAGGATTTAGTCAATCACAGCAACCAGACTTAGCGCAAAGTTTTCCCAGAATTGATGTTAATTTCTCCAGGGTTTGAATCATAGCTATCTACTTCATTATCACTTTGACCTGGATTTGTAGCTCTTGTTGAATAATACAACAAATCTGTACTGACTGTTAATAAGACATTCTGTCTGTCATCTTACTGGTCCTTTCTCGCTGAATTGGCACATTCAGATTTTTGTTACCCTCGCCAACAAAGAGGCAGAGTTTTCTTTAGCACTAGATTGTCTGAATGCATATATCTGCTTTCTAGTGGAAATGCAAGATTATTTCATCAGCAAAATCACCATGTAAAAATTCTTGACAAATTTTGATGAATTTTTCAGGATAGACAGATACTCAGGAGGCGTGGAGGTGATTATGAGTTAAATTGAACTTAGATCGCCTGACAATTTAATTATCTTTGTTGCCTTAATTTTTTTCCAGACATCTCCTTGGAATGCTATGTTCTTAAAGTAATAATTTTAAATAGATGATGCTTCAATGTTCCAAGATTCATGCCTATTCCTGAAAGGATTTTTCACGTCTAGTATAGTCACTAAGAACAGACCGATTCTGACAAGACCTGTCAGTTCTACTGTATTTCCAATTATTGCTTGACCTTTATTTTTCTCTCTAGTGTGATAGGCTTCAGTATGGACATGATTTTGATCCAAATTTAATGACTGGAAATGTAATAATTTTGAAAGCTTTCTGTAAGTGTTAAGGTTTTAATGTGAAAACCTAGCTTAAACAGTGGCTTAATATCTATAGGTACATGTGTGATGTGTAGGCTAAAATGTAAAGCTTTTATAGATTTTATTTCACCAAATTTTCAAGTTTATGGATATGATTCTGAAATGTTCATGTTAATCAAATGTTTTTTTATATCAATTGTGATTATTAACTTTTAAGTTCATTTTAAGTTCTTTTAAGTTCACTTTAGAATGCTCTTTTTTTTTTGGGGGGGGGGGCTATGAATAAATTTATCTAGAACACTCAATAAAGCCACTTTCCCATTTATTTTTAATAATTTTTATTTATTTTTGATAATTATCAATATATGTTTATTCTCTTATAATAACTGAAAAATCCTCAAAGTTCTTAATTTTATTCATTTTTAATCTTTCTGTTCATCTATACATTTATTCACCCACTAGGCATTTGCTCAATAATTTTATTCATCCATTTTAATTGATCTAATGGAGGTTAAATTAATTATTTACAGTATGTTTGAAACTGTGGTAGAGATGTGATGGTTGAGAGGATTAGGCTGCATAAATTAATAAATAGATGAATAAATAAGTAGATATATAGGTGGATACTAGAAGACAGACAGATAGGTCAGATAGGTGGGGTAGTGCTAGCAATTTTTTTTTTTTTTTCGCTTAGCCAAATCACCACTTTTTTGTCAATTTGTTATCCAAATGATTATAATTTGACTAAAACAAGCCAAATCAAGCCCTTTTTGTTTAGCAAATTTGAGTCAGTTTTAGCATTTGGATAAATTGGCAAGTGTTAGCGTTACCCCAGGATAGGTATAAGTACATGTACAGTGTGTATATGCAGATACACTGTACAGATACGTGTATGTACAAGTATTCATCACCTTAAATCTTGCTTCCCAAGATATTAGTGGCAATGAAATTTATTAGACCATGATAACCTTACATCTTGATAGACATACCTATTGCAATGCCGACCACAATGCGTCCTGCAAGCAGCATATACTTGTCAATGGCGAGCCCCATAATTATGGACCCCACTGTAAAGATTAGGCTGGCCGTAACGATAACAGGCTTGCGACCGAAACTGTCATTCAACACACCGCCAACTAAGGCAAACACGGCGGCCGCTCCTATCGTTACACTCACTATAAGTTCCTGCCACAGGGAGTCCAGGCGGAACTCTTCTCGCAAGAGGATCATTGCTCCTGAAACCACCCCTGTGTCATACCCAAAGAGGAATCCACCGATTGCTGAGAACAGTGTCAAAACGTAAACAAACGCTGGAGTTCGTTGTTCTTGCCTGATGCGGTCCATTCTTAGCGCAGAGTCGTCGTCCGAGTCATGCCCAAGGGTATTTGGGCGTTCCATTTTGGGTTAAAAAATGTCTCCCTAGAATAATCCCATTTTAGCAAGAAACTACCGCATGATACTGTCAACCATCGGCCAAACCACCACAATGATCTTTCATTCTTACCGGTGCCTCATAACGAACTTGCATGTACATGCCATTATTCAAAATAGTGCAACAAAAACGGACTTTTATTTCACTTTATTTGATTAGTACAACTTCATCTTGGATTTTACTTAAAATCCTGAAGAACTAATAACTATTATTGGGTAAGTGCTCCAAATTTAGACATAAATAAACAATATTTCCAATACATATATTCATACGCACCAAGGGTTAATGTCATTTGAAGGTCGGGTCAAATTTGTTGTCGTGTACCATTTCCGCATATGGTAGAAGAGAAAGTACCCAAGCTAGAACGATCATGACTCAGGCCAGTGAAAAACAAACTCCTCAAGGTGTCCCCTACAGCACCGTGCCTCATTTCGTCAGCAACGTTGGCCACACAATCTTTTGCAAGTATTGGGATACGAAGTTCAAAGAGGACAGCCGGAAACCGAGGTTAGGAAACCGTGACGGTTTTGTTGTGGGCTACCGCAGCTGGGTATATGTACCGTGTATCTCAGCCTCTGTAAAGCGTAATAACTTTCATGTATAATACTTGTGCGAACATATAAAGTTGAATCATGTTTTATTTGATAATCAAAGTATAATGGGGAAATTTAGGCCTGGCACCACGGCAAATTATATGAATTTTCCCCCCTTTTTTTCCAGAGCCCTGTTGTTCATTGCTCATGGTTTAAATGAGCACTGTTTGTGGTACGACATCCTAGCAGAGCCTCTGGCGGACAAAGATGTATTGACCTTCTCCCATGATAGCTGTAAGAGAAATCTCTCTCTCTCTCTCTCTCTCTCTCTCTCTCTCTCTCTCTCTCTCTCTCTCTCTCATTCACACACACGCACACTCACATATCTTGTATGATTTTAATTAAAATAAATGAATTAAAGACAGTGGCATTGAACTGTGCATTCATAAGATATAGTATTGCACTTGAAAAAGTTTTCTCTGTTCACCAATCCTCTTTCACATTCTGTATACTAGTCTCTTACATATGGATACAGCAATACAACATACATGTAGCTCAATACTGTCTTCATTTTGTTGGCTTAAATTTTGTGGTATTCTTCTTGTGATATTTCAGATGGCCACGGGCAGAGTGAAGGAACACGAGTTGACTTAGAAGATTGGTCCATTTACATTAAAGATATCTTTCAACACTGTGATGAAATGAAGGAAAAGTATCCAGACATTCCACTGTTCTTACTGGGACATTCACTGGTAATCTTTAATTATTATCAAATTGAAAGATTGTCAGAAAAATTTTAGGTGTTGCTCTTGGAAAATCCAAAGGGTTGTGTTTCCATATCAAGTTCATTGCAAATATAATTTACTCTGATTAATCAAAATCGTCATTGTCAATTCACTCCTCTTTCTATTTATACATTGATTTTTATTAATTATTTTATCATAAAAAATTAATAGCAGTCAACTGCATCTAATTTACATTACAATACAATGCCGCCAAATACTCATTTGTATGTAAATGAATAATTTACACTAACTAATGCTAATTAGGAATCATTATTTGCAAATATAATTTACTCTGATTAATCAAAATCATCATTGATCAATTTACTAGGCCCTTTTCAATGTAATCATGGAATTTACTCATTTTTTAATCAGATAAAATTCAGTCTGGCCAACTATATATAACTTACAGTACATTCTTAAATTTTTTTGTCTCAAAACAACATAGTATAATGTTAACATGGTTAACTATTTTCAGGGAGGGGCAATGGCTATCACGGCCACTCTAGAAAGACCTGATTATTTCCGTGGGATGATCCTGATAGCACCCAGTGTAGTGCCTCATCCAGACAATGTCACTCCTTTTAAAGTCAGTATAGTTTTCTTACCATATAAGGAGTATTTAGCTGTTACCCACAAATTCCAATCACTGTACTAAAATTATGAGTAATTAGTATGATCATTGGGATATGCAATAAAGCAGTGTTTATATTTTGCACACCCTGAACTTCAGATAATAATAAACCATATTTGGCTGGCTTTAATTTAACCTATATTTACTTTTGATTTTAAATAAGCCAAAATACAGGGTGCATTTTCAGCCTCTTTTAATTCATTTGTGTTAAACAAGGTCTTTTACAACTTACAATAACCTAGATACATCATGAAATTTTTAAGAAGTTTTTTCTCTTCATAATTCCAATCATTTAACAGGTGTTTTTAGCTAAGATTCTTGCCAGATGGACACCCCAACTTCAGTTGGGGAAATTACCACATGATAACATGTGCAGGAACAAAGACGTGGTAGGCTTTGGATGTGGATCCTGAATTATCTTCTGTGGTTTATGTGCCTGTTGTGTGCTGATTGTTTTTAGCTTAATCTTTAGGTGTGTTGTAGAGAGACTATGAAGTTTGCATTCCTTTTGGTGTTTTTGAGTGTAATTCATCAGTGGAAGAAACCATGAATATGAGGTTGATCATGATGTTTTTTAACACACAAGGTGTGGAGTGGAAAAATATACCATTAAGATTTTGCAAAATATGCATTTTAAATATGCCAAAACATACTTCATTTTGGTGGGTTTTTTTCTAAATAAAATAATATTTTGAATTATGTAAGTACATGATTTCCATCTTACAATCTTATTATTGAAGTTTTTTTTCACTGATGAGGTGTTGATATTTCATCTTTGTAGCAATCTTATTATAATAAATTATCTTAATGTTTAACCTAGATGTTTCAAAACAATTCACAGAGCTACCTGCTAGATATAACTTTTGGACCTTGTGGTTTTTCTACCAGAAAAAAAAACATTTTTTTTTGTGGGAACTGAAGCTTTTGAGCTGTATTTTTACAAGTTTGAAGAATTTGTTAAGTGTTTGTTAGTTTATCATTTGTTCTTGTTAAAACGCTACTACTTGCTAAATTAAAGATTGCATTTTAGCTAACAAGTAATTCAGTTCCCAAACTATTTTGATTTATTCATTTGTCAGACAAATAGTCTTACACAAAGGTGAAGGTCAGGCTGCAAAGGTGAAGGCCAAAGAAGCATATTTCTTTGAAGGTCAAAGTAGGTGATATTCCTTATCCTTTTGAAAGAGGAAAGTGCTTGCAAGATGAAGAAGTAGTCTTGTTTTCATAATAAGATCAAATGGCTGTTTCAAGATTTAGATATGACCACTACTTAAACACATCAACTGACATTAAATTTGTTGCCAACATGTGAACACAAATAGTGATAAGTTATTTCTAATTTGAATCGTTGTAGATAGACATATTGCTGGGCTGTAGCCCATTGAATAACTCGTCAGTTTTGTGTGTAGTGGTTTTATTTAAACCTAAAACCAGCCTAAGGTAATACTGATGTGAACAAGACTTACCTTTGCAAGATATCTCTGCTGCAACTTCTTCTTTAGAGAGGTTTCTGAGGGGTCCACTCTTGCATATTGATTTCATTTTTAGCCATTTTAAAGGTTTTGTAAATGAAAAATGCTATCATTTTTAGATCATATCAAGGAATTTGATTTTAAAGGAAATTTTATTTTTAGTTGGCTAAAAATAATTAGGTGCAGAGTGGATCTGTATTTAAATAGAGAGTGCCTAACAAACTTTGCTTGCTTAAACTTAACAGCTTTTGCATGTGCATGTTTTTTTCAGCTGTGGTTGGCTCACTGGATAGCTTGGTTATTTCCTCAAATGCAGCTGACTACTATTGATCGCACTCTTAACACAAGAGCACAAGAAATGGTATTTTGTTAGTTCTATTTTGCTAGCAAAACAGTTTTTATTTTCTTTATTTATTTATTATTATTATTTTATTTATTTATTTTTAATTTATTTATTATTATTTTTTATTTATTTATTTATTTATTTTATTTTTTTTTTTATTTTGCATATGTGATGTTCAGATTTCAGGTGTCATATTTTATAGTTTGTAATACAAAGTGCCATAATTGCACAACTGGTATCTTAGCCCCACCGAGTTAGTGGTACCTTCAACAGTATGCATGTGTTTGAGCATTAAAACTATTCAACTTTAGTCTATATATGTTTTTAGGTCTGGGGCTTTGGTATAAGACCCATGAATAATCTGAAATTGATTCACGGGGAAATTAGTTTAAATGGATTATTTAGTATATTTTAACATATTATTAGAGATTATCATTTTCTTAGCTGAAACTTAATATTGTGAAGTTTTAGATATAAATATTGTTTATATAAAATTACTTATGCCGTATTATAACTAATAATCCAAGTTGAATTCTTAAGTAAAAGTTTTACTGTTTACCGCAAAAAATCAGCGTGGCTTTCTTTAATTTTCAAGAAATAGGAAGTAAATGAAGTGCTTAACCTTAACTAACTTTGAAGGTACAATCACATGATCAAGAGTAAATTACTGTACATACCCCCATAATTTTTTTTCCCAGGTAGAGAAGTATAATGCAGATCCACTGGTTTGGCAGGGAGGAATGAAGGCAAGGTGAGCAAGACATTATATAAATAAAATTTATTTAGGTTGCATCATGGTTAAGTAAGTAGACAACATACTGATAGAAAAATATGCATTATGATAGGAGAGATTATTCTCTATACACAATGTTAATTTTTCCCTTGCTTTACTACAGTCAATTCTCTTTATTGACACTATATTAAACAGGTTTGGCGTGAGTGCCTTGAAAGGGTTAAAAGCCATTGAGGCCAACTTGCACGCGGTCACCACACCATTTCTGGTCCTTCATGGAACTGGGGACAGGATAACTGACCACAAGGGGTCAGAAATGCTCCACGAGAAGGCTCAAAGTACAGACAAGACAATCAAGGTATAGTATATTAAGATGTCAGTCGTGTTCACACCGAGATTGAATTAAAACTTATTTAAGGCTGTGTTCACATGAAAAATCTATTTTCTAAAAATCTATTTGCGGTATCTTGTGATCACGGTCTGTACCCTGAATACTCCACGGCGTAATTACGGGCAGCACGAGCCAGTTACTTCCAAAGCTGTAGTTAATTCTCGCCGCGGGGTACTCCAAGAAGTAGATGCGCAAATTACTTACCTAGTAAGAATTAAATGGCTGCATGGCACTAGAGAACTTTAAGTCTGTTTACCTAAATCATCACCCAGAAAACAGGTGAGAGTATAATTGCTGAGCAGTTGTATTAATAGGGCTGAATAACAGAGATATTTCACAGGTGAGAAGTTCAAGAATTAGTGCAGGTGCTTTCTGGTATCATCCAGAGTTCTAGAGATTACTGAAAACTCGCCTGTGTAATCAACAAGGCTCAAGTGTCTTATGTTCAGTATCCTGTATCCTGATAATGGAGGCCGGTTGTCTGGCATTGGAGATATTACAAATTACTTACTGTTTTTGGAAAATACAATTTTTTTTTTTTTGTTTTTTTTTTGTATTTTTAAATTTTTTATAATAGTTTTTTTATAATTTTATAATTACTATGTCAGTCAATGTAACTTACGCCTTGATGCCAGGAATAAAAGTCAAAGACCCAGATGTATCACATGAATGCTAGTTCACTAATTGATCAGCAAATCGCATGTCAAAATGTTGCTTTTTTTAGTCTTCACATACCATATTGTCTGCCTAGGCATTTGTGGGGTGTTGTTTGTTGCCTGCAGGTTTTTTTATCAGGTTCAAATCAGATGTGATTATTGTTTAATGTGCATTATTATAATGACCATTTGAAATTCATCAGACAATTTAATTTTGACCGGTAGGAAAATTGGACACATTGGTAACTAAGACCCCATTCCCAGAGATTAGATCGATCCAACTAGATCGACCTAACTCCCTGGGTGTTCACGCTAAATAGCTGTCAGCCGAACGGGCACAAAAGTTAATTACCCCCTTACAGCTTTTAGTAGGCAGGACGGACATTTAAGCCGGATTATCTGACAGTAATCTAGTGAGACTCCCCAGGGGGATAGATCGATCTAAAATCTATGGAAATGCACCCTAAAAGTGTATCTTTTCATTTCAGCTTTATGATGGTTACTACCACCAGCTTCACTATGAACCCGATGATGATGGTGCTGAAGTGAGACAGGACATCTTTGATTGGATTCTGGCAAGAATTGATGCACCCTCTGGCTAGAATAAGGAAGCCAAGGCAGCAAGTTCTACACTGAAAGATTTTAGGACAGGTGGTTTTGAGTAAGGCCTGAAAGCAAAAGTTTGGGCTGATTTTTGTGATAAATGCTTGCATACCTTTGAGACAGAATGCACCAAAACCTTGACCTGTTAAATAAAAATGGGATACAGAAGCTTCAGTCACACTGAGAAATCATGTGAACTAATGCTTAATTATGATACAATTTTAAAGACATACAATGAAAAAATATAAAACAAGGAAATATCAGACATCAAAGTTGTGCACATGAAGACATCATTGATCTGACAGTCAAAGTTGGGATACAAAAGCCCTCGCCACTCTTGGAATCCAGTAAAAGATTTGACAAAACAAATGAGGCAAAAAAGACTCTTTCAGTGTTATTGACTTTCAGTGTTATTGGTAAAACAATACTGAGAGCAACTCCATGAAGTAAGGTCTACACTTGCACCCGCTTAATGGGATAACAACTCTTCATTTTGGTGAGGAAAGTGTCATAAATGGATTTTCCTGGGGTGCACGACAATTTCCCATGTTTTCCAATGGGTAACGAATCTGTTCCAAATTATTTTATTTATTTAAAATTGGTAATCTTCAGAGATTATCATGGAGGGTAGCCATCTAAAAAAAATATATTATATGAAAAGTTGTGATCACTTCCAGCTTAGCAGTGAGTACCAAAACATAATTGTGCATTCCAAATGTGATTAAGAAACCAATACCGATTGTGAATTAACTGTTTCCAGGAGTTTAGAGGGGTTGAACCCTTTCTGGGTGTGGTTGCAGAAAAGAACTTCAGACCGAGACTTGGTCTCAACGTGAAGACTGAAAATTTCAGTCTTCAGTTCAAAATAAATTTGACATAGTGAACCACTGAATGAAAGGAAGCAGTGGTTTAAGGTTTTTTTTTTTTTTTATTAAATAACATGTCTCTTTTTTATAAAACAGACACAATATTTCATATGTACGTGGGGGGGGGGG